TTGGCAAGCAAATAAATAAACACGCAGCAGCTGGCATGAATACAAGACCAATTTGCAAGGCAATCCCAGGCAATTGACACTTTGTTTGTTTTTTCATTATCGATAAATGTTTGTCCATTGTTATCGATTCGCGCGATCAGTGCCCCTGTAATAGCCCCACATGGAGATATAGCCTCGATCGCTTGGGTTTCCAATGAAAACGCTGCATCCCAATTTGGGCACTCACTTTCCTGTCTCAACATTTTTCGCATCCGCCGGCCATATGTGCTGGGAAATTCAGAGTCAGTTGCCAAGGATGTTTTGCATTGCAATGGCAATTCATCAACACCGGCAGATTTGTCATGCGGCAGACGCATAATTAAATACTTTCACCTGTGCAACAAGCTACACCTGCAAATGCAGATACAAGATACATCGTTTTCGTTTTCATTTTCATTTTCATGGCCAACCCGAAGCTGGCGAAGCCAATGCACTAAAAATAGGCGCATTGCCTTTGCAAGAGAGACATTTTTCCTAATAGTCGTCGCACTTCACGCACACTCAAAGATTGAGACACCTATGGTGTGCAAGAGTCAGGGACAGGTGACAGGCTGTGGTGGCCAGGAGTCGCTCGGATTCAGATTCAGATTTGGATTTGGATGTGGTCGGTGGACGGTGCGTGAAAATCGCAATTATTCACCTCGGGCCTTGGCACTTAATGTCGCCAACTTTCTGCGCGAGTGCTCTAAAAATATCACCCGAAAGTGCCCAGCCTCCACTTTGTGTATGTGATCCTGTCATATATAAGTGAGTGAAGGCACCACAAAAGAAGAAGGAGGAAATCTTTAAGGGAAAACTTGAGAAAATGTCTCGGATGGTAGGTAATAAATCTGACAGATAGTTTTTGTTTATTTTAATAGGAAAAGGTACATGCAATTTAATTGTTCTCTTGAAATTTGATGCAAGTTTAAGATTTATTTGAAAAAGCATTTAAATCCAGAAGGAAATTTACATTAGTTCTGTTGTATTATATGAAAACTCTTTCAACTTTTCACGTAGAATGTGTTCGTGTTTTTTTAGAACTTGTTTGAGGTCAAAAAATACTTTGAAGATGTTAGACTGAGAAGCTGCATCCTTGAATGGGGTTTATTTAAAAGAGTAGTAGTAGTGTTTACACTAAAATCCCGGAGACCCAGCCGGCGGGCAGCTGTGTGTGTGCATCGAGTGGGCCCGTGCCCGTATCTTTTGGATGCAAGAATATCGCTGCAGTGCCTGCAGATACATTTTCCTATTTTCTTGTTATTTTTAAACAAAGTGCACGACCCAAACGCCGCTTTCTGCGTTGGTTGTGTGCGATGTGTGTGTTTATTTTCCGCAGCCCGTTTATTTGTTGGCTTTGCCTTTGTATTTTCTGTCAGATACTAGAAAAGTTTGATGAGCGGCAAACCCGAAAAGCCAATATTGTGTTCGACACGGCCCAGCATTTGACACAAAGGCAACGAAAGAGACGACAATGAACTCTCAATGAAAGTGCAATTAAGTGCAGGCAATGTTCGCCGCTAATTGCATTTATCGCTTAGATGTTAATTATGCTGCCGAGTCTGAGCTGAGCTTCGGCTGATTATGCAGGGAGGAGCACCGCAGCGAGTCACCTCGAACTCTGGGGAGGTCAATGATATAACAGATGATTAACTGCCGGCATTGTATTTGCCTCTCTTTTGTTTGTCTCTCTCCCTCTCTCTCTCTCTGTGTGTCTCTCGTATCTGTCTCTCTCTGGTGGCTAAAGGTCAGGTCACCCATCTGTCTTGCTTGCCGAGAGCCAGCCGTATCTCAGTTTGGTCATCTTTTCAGATACAGTATCTTTTGCTGTGTGTGTGTTGTGCTTGTTTGGTGCCGCAGACTAGTCTGTCTTTGAGCTGCTCAAAAACACCCATAAATCTGAGAAAATACATTATTTATCACATTAGATTGCAGTATACATATTAAGAGCTTTCAAATGTTTTTCAATACCTTTCAATACTTTTGAAATAAAAATAATAGTCTTTAACTAGCAAAAACTGGTATAACAAGAAGGGAAACTAAATTCACAAAGTAGAAGTTTATATACTTTTGCAGTTTGTAATTGAATTATATGATCCTATCGGTAATGGATCATAACAAAGCTTAAAATAAGTTTATTCATTTATCGATATTTTTATATGACAAATCTTTTGACTTTTTCACATCGTTACAAACTTCTGACTAATAATATAATATAAGGGTATACAAAAATAATTATTTCATGATTTCATTGTATTTATATTTATGATTATAGTTATAATTTCTATTAGTCATAGGTATGTTTGCTTAAAATATAAAAATTAAATACATATTTCCCCTTCACTTTTTGCTTGGATTATGAAATCAGGATTCGGTATTTGTCAAGAAACTTAATACAAATATAACTATATACGACGTGTTCTAATAGCTCTAATATATTAAGCTAGAAGTGAATCGAATTATAATATTCTTATAATGAAAAGTAATCTCTTAAGTTAATATTTATTAAAAAAATGCTTACATAAAACGTAGCTTATATGAATTTTTTAAGGAAGTTAAAGCTGGAAAGGTTCTTCCCATCACCTTTTGCTTGGATTACACCAACAGCTTTTCATATTCATCAAAAAGTCTGTCCAAACTAATGAACAACATCAAGCCGAAAAATTTGCATATTTATGTTGAAAATTTCATTAAAGTATTTTTTGGGTGCGGTCAAACGAACATGTATAGAATTTTTGGCCGCTGGCAATACACACAGCCACACATACCATACCATACTTTTATTTATTAGGTTAAAATTCGCTATGCCATTAAAGAGCTTCGAGTTATGGGCCAACAGGGAGAGCAATGTGTATTCAATAGGGGAAAAGTCGGAAAAGTTAGAGTCGCAACTAGTGAAAGCGCCGCCAACTTGCAGCCAGTAAGAGCAACTTGGCTAGTTTTCCTTAAGGCTCAAAAGACTTTGGGGCCAAAAGCAGCCTGCAATCATATTTCACCTTAGCTCTGGCTCTGAGTTTGCTGCACTTGTCGTGGTTGTTGTTATTGTCGTTGTTGTCGCTGTGGTGGCTATAACTGAACACTTGCCATTGCACACTTGGCCAAGTTTGGCAACTTTTGACGGCTGCTGCGGCAACCAGCGAAGCAAACCAGCTAACAACAAAACGAGTTGTGATGTGGCCGTTGTTATTGTTTGCATGCTAGTATTTCTAACTATTTTTTTCTTTTCTTACGTTTTTTTCTATTATTATTGTTGGTTTTGTTGTTTTTGTTGTGGTATCTCAGAGAGTCTATCCCCATTGGCAACATTTAATTTCATTCATTGCAGGCAGCAGCAAAACGGCAGCCGCCGAAACTTTGCAAACCTTTTTTTGTTGCTCCTGCTGGTTGATATCCTTTGAAAAGAACGGGGAGCTTTAACTGTGACATGGAGGTTGGATTATAATATTAAATATAAAATAAATTCTCCATATTCCATATTTTTCATAATTTTATTATTATTATTATTGTCAGTTTTTAAAAATATATATAAAATATATTTAACACAATTAGTAGCACTTGTTATAAATGAAATACCAAGCTTATAATTTTATATAATATAAAGTAAGATATAAGAGCTCAGATATTCTTTTAAAAATTCAGTGTAAACAATGTTAAAGCAGATGTAGTAAATAGTATCTTAAATAAACAAAATATAAGAATCTTAACTACGAAATAATCTAAAAAAAAAAAAAATCTTACCCTTGATAGTAATTTTTGTATTGCAATATCTTTTCTCTTTCGATTTGATTTATTATTTACGTGTAGCTTTAAAATGTTTTCCCTTTTTGTTTAGCTACACCCAGAATCATAAAATATCTCTTAAGTTTCTCCACTCAAACTATTTGTAGATGGTAAAGTTATATATAACTTTTTATAGGGCATTCCAAAGTTAACTCTCGCGCAAATGCAATTTTTGTGCAATTTTACGACGGTGCGGTTAGCCACGTGATTTTGTGTTTGGGTTTTCTTCTTACCTTATTTTGTTTTGGCGTTGTCTCCGGCTTTCCTTGTTGTTGTGGCTGGAGGTTTTCAGCATTTTCCGCTGGGGGACTCGAAGCTCTCTGGAAGTGTTTTATTCATCGTCATTCGTTGGAGCGTCATCGTCGTCTTCCAGTGCCGGAGTTTTAATGCCATTTTCGTGCCTGGGCTGTTGCTTTGAATAACTGCCCCGGTCGTATGTAGCGTAGTTTTTGGCCATTTGCTGCAGTTTTAACTGTTTCGAGTGGAGGGTCTGCTGCGGGACAGACGGACAGACAGGTAAAAAAGGATGTGGTAATTGCCATGCGGTAGCCGACGTTACCTAAGCAGGTGTTTACGTCTGCGATTTTGTTTGTTTACCTTGTCTGCCATTGCAATTGAACATGCAATAAATAGTTCTTGCAATCTGTCGTTTCCAATCTGCATTTCGATGGAGGCCTTGCCCACATTTTCGCATTTAATTTGAACAAAAATTGGGCTTGCATTTATGAGAAATTTATGTAAACAAAAAGACTTTGACTTGGGGTGATACCCTTTCTGAAGGAAATAAAATAATTCTAGTAAATGCAATCTCAAAACCAAAATGTTGATTGCCTTAAACAAGAGTATTTCTTTGTTCGTTGTACTTTTCATGCAAATTTTGGTATTCTTTTTTGCCAATCTTTCTGTTTTGTTTTATGGAACCCACGCGACACGCTGTGAGCCAGAAAAATCCATCATAAGCCCAGAGACATTTATAAATTGGCTTTCAGTTGTTCAGTTTGTGTGTTGCCTTCTGTCAGAGTTATTTACGCCGTCCCACATGATTTTAATGAAGGCCCCCACCGATATCTTTAATTGGCCTCAACATTGAAATGTCACACGAGTTGGTAGCATAATAATTATATGTAGACAATAAATTAAGCTTTTGGTATTTGAATTGAACTCGGCTAACTATATCACATTTCCCTTGTTTTTGCTTTCAGGTTAATGCTGCATATATGACAGGCCCACACGACATCGACAGCGACTGAGACAAGTAAGTGTACAATTAAACCACGCAAAATGGAATATTTATGCAAATTTCTGCACTTTTTTTTTTTTTATTAAATTTAGTTTTTTTTGCAAGAGGAAAACTTTGTCCGGGCCTGACCCCCATCCCAGTTCCAGTTGTAGTGCAAGTAGAGCAGAATGGAGTAAATCCCCACGCCCAGTTGAGTTTAGTTCCTGTGCAGGCGGCATATATATACATATGTATATATTCTCCTTTATTTTTAATTTATTTTAATGTGGGTTTCACTGCTGTGTAAATCTGGGATGAAGTCCCTTGGCGGAAGAAGAAAAGTAGGCTTGAATCCCATACAGATGAGGGAAAATTGTATACAATCGGGCTTGGCTTGGCAAAATGATGTCAACGGAAAAGGATTATCCCACAAAGGATGCTGTGGGACAGGAAAATTGAATTGCTTTGCCTTTACTTTACTTTACCAATGATGTCATTTACGAAGCCATAAAATTGATTTTGCATTAAAATTCGTTTAGCAAGAAATTCGCTTGCGCAAGAAAGTGAGCTCGAGGCGGGGAGTCAGTCACTTTGAATCAATTAATTTGCTATTTCTGTGCGTACAAGTCGAAGGCGCCTCACAGATCCTCTGATGCTGCTCCTCTCTCTCTCACTGCGAAAATGTTTGGCTCTTGGCCCGCAGCAGCATCGTTTGCTGACCCAATTTCAATTGGCTAAGAATAGCGAAAAATGTTTAAACTTACATACTGTGCTGGTCCATTCGAATCTCTTCTCTGCCTCAGATTACACTTATATATATTTAATTCTTCAGAGAGTGACAGAACGAAGAGGCTTTAAGATTTGATGTATCTGACGGATTGCAAAATAAATGTATTTCCCAGGAGGGTGCCTCAATATTTTCAATACTCAATTACTATAACTTGTGTGCCGCTGTCAACGCTTCGCCTATAGCCCACTAATTAAATCTAATTTATTTATTCACGTCTGTTGGTGGCAAATCAACTACACAAACGAATTTATAACAATGCCCAAAAAGTTTCAGTTGGCTGACAACCAAAAGCTGCCCGCTAAGATTTATTCTATCAAATCTATTTTAATTGTTTTCCTCTTGTCATCTTGCTGTAATTGTAATTGTGAAACCCGGCCAAGAATAAGGCAGGCAAAGGCGCCAAGGGGCGTGCCTACTAATTGTCCCACTTGGTGCAAATAATTATATATATTTTATTTATGTTTTCCCCTGCCAGAAGTGCACAGTGAGTGCCCCTAATCTTCGCACAGATTCATCGATGGCGCTTCCGCATATTTGTTTGCGTGATGTTCTCTCTCTGTCTCATAAATCAATTTGTTGCAATTCAAACAATGTTTTGTGTCTGTCGATCAATTGGCATAGGAATCAAAATTAGAAGACAACGGGGCGCAAATAAATCTATTTATTTAGTTGCCAAGAGGTGCTAGAATCTGATTTAAAATTGAGATGTTTATTAGTGGAAAATATTCACTTAGTCGGTTTCTTCTTCAATTTCCGTACCCTCTTCACGTTCCGCTGACATATTTCTAGCGACAAAATGTCACATGAGAATCGAACGTATAAAATACCAAACAAATATTTAAATTACGTGACTTTCATATACAAATTTATATGGTGGTTTCTTTCTCAGAAAGTAACCAAAGGGCTTTCTTATCGACATGTTTCCTAAGACTCTACATATAAATACAAAACCCAACCCCTTGTTTCTAGATAAAGACACTTGTTCGATGTATTCCGCTTGTAGATACAATATCTATAAATCTATAATTAGAGTTACTTGTGTGTATCAACAGTTTGTGACAAGGTTCCCACGTTGTTCTCTGTTGATTCCATTCCTGGGGGTGGTTGGGTGACTAAATGGTTCCTGTCTTTTGTCCACCTGGCTGACTTTCCATTGTATCTTTGTTATTCGCTTTCATATAATTCCCTTAAAAGTGATCCCAATCAGAGGCGTCAGCTTCATTACCGATCCAGTGGCTGCTCAACGAGCATCAAAAAATTGCCTAACAACCTAAATAAATAAATAAATAAACCCAAAATATTGTGATATAATCGAAAAAGTGAGGTGAACATTTGAACAAACGAACAAATTGCTTCAGGTGAGCCGAGAGAAAAACATCTTGACAAAAGTGAGATTGGAAAGGAATAACAAAATAACACAAATTTCAAGCAAAATGTAATTATTTTGTTTATGAATGAGACTGCAACTACACAAATGTCGGTGTGTTTTGAATATTTATTAAACATTTTCTGGCTATTGGCCAAGTTTTGAAAGAAAGAGAGAAATTGTAGAAATTTCAACTGAAATGGTTCATTTGTTCTCAAGAACCTTGATCTTGTCCGGCAGCCATGTGCACTTTATAAACCATAAAGCCCGTCGTCTTCCGTTTACGTTTTCATTTCTGTATTTATGAGTAATTAAGCTATATAAATCGTTGGATATTTTTATGCCACCCTCTAATAGAAGAAAAAACCTGCAAAAAGATGAGTCACTCTTAACGCTGGGTGGGAATGCTTTTAATCCACCCTCGCCGGCTGTTGACATACCCTTACCCAATTCTTTCTCCTTTTTTTGGTGGGTTTTAATATTAATTTCCCTTCCTGCCCCAACAAACTTTGCATTGCGGGGGAGAGATAAAGCTGGTAGGCGAAAATCGATAAGCGCTAAACTTTTCATTTTCCATAGACTTTAATTTTTGTGTGTCTTTTATCATATTCTCTCCTCTCTCTCTGACATCACACTGTGGTGTGTGCCCATTGTGACCCACAAGGCTTTTGTTTAACCCGCAAAAACAGAGAGAGAAAAAGACCATGAGGTGCACTGGGAAAAATCTTGAATAGTTCCCACAAGATATACATATGTATATATTCTTTATGACTTGTTGTTTGATTGTGTTTTAATCAATATAGGTAACGATCTTAATGTAAGAAAACAAGTCTAGTCCATGTTATGTAAACAATTATTTCAATATAATCACGAATTTCCATCAAACGTGTTCCAGAATTGAAATTTATGAAGTTTAAAGGTACGCTTTACAAACGCGTGTTCCAGAATAATAACTTTTTAATTATATTATATTTATCTTGTTAGCAGTAAAATCTTTATCTTTCTTTCTAAAAATATTTGTATTATTGTTCTTATTATTATTTATGAGAATAGAGAAGAATCTTGACATTTATTTATATCATTTCTAGTCTTTATAACAAAGACCAGTAAAGTAATACAAACACTACTTTTCTCTCTGTGCATGGGAGAGTGGGACCGTCGAGCTGTCGCCAATTGCGTGGCCCATCCAACCACCGCCCCTTTGCTGTCCGAGTCGTGGGCGTGGCTGGGAGGGGTAACCCCCATTGTGCGAGCTCTTTTTTTTATGACTTTCCTGGCGCCAATCGAATTTTGGCCTGAACTTTAATAGACGATGAGACAACAACACAAACTGAAAGCAAGTCTCTCGTCATTGAGCAAGGGATTTCTTGTGTGGGATGTTAAGGAACAATTTGTCATATGGAAATATCTATGCACAAAAAAAGGGAGAACCTTTTCCGAAATTGTGGTTGTTCCGACAAGGACAATAGTGATTCCCTGAAAAAGGCTGAGCTAGGATATTCATTTCACATTCACATTAAATTTTTTGACGTAAAAGGAAGCATTATGCCATTGTTCAATTTGTTTAGAAGAAAGAAAAGAGGTTCATCTTTAAACCTTTACAAGTATTTTAGGATATAAGCATCTATTGTGTATTTAGACTTCAAAATAAATACATCCCAGCAAGCTAACCAGCTAATGTTCCAAAATAATTAGAACTTAGTAAGCAAACCAGATTTTGTCTCAACGTTCCAAGCTCCTTGAGACTTTTCACCGATGTTTAGTGTATTACAAACCTCGGGACTGGTTACATTTCTATACGTATTTTCAACCAAAAAATAATTAGATTTAACCTTTTTTGGCGAGCGTCGCAAAGCTGTACAAATTCATTGTTAATTTTTAGCAATACCAAAAAGCAAAAGATCAAGACTATAGAGAGGGCACCGAGTAGTAAACCCAAGGTCGCCGCACATCATGAATCCAACCAATCTGGGCAAGCAGAACGGTGCACTGGTGATGGAGGTGCTGAAGGTCCTAGGACGTCCGGCCACTAGTTTCGAGGTGGCCGAGAGGGTATCCGATGTCTACCGTCTGCCACTGCAACCCATCCGTCCCGTGGTGACCGATGTCCTCGAGGGCGGGGTACGCCAGGGGTTCTTTAGCTACAGGAACCATCGCTATTCGGTGGTGCAGCCAGTGGTGGATCAATTGCGTCGCGACATTGATAACTATGCATCCGAAATACTGGCCATGGATGGCTCCTGTGATGGCTCCAGTGAGATTTGCGCAAGTGGCGGCGGTGGTGGTTGTTATGGAGCACTTCCCCAGATGTCTCCGTTGATGCTAAAGCTGCAGAAATTAGATGGATCACCGCCCATGGTGGCCGGGGGGAACAGATATCGCCAGACGAACACGGGGGAGCAGCAGGAGCGTTTGCCATCCGGGGATGTGCCAATAGACGAACGAGAGGAGATCGTCATGCTTCCCGTCTCCCCGATATAACAAATTTCACATTTTATTATAGATTGTTCCACCGAATGCTAGTGCATCAAAATTTCTGGCGTCCAATAAACCGGGCAAGGGCTCGATGTGTTCACATGGCAGCAAATGTTGGACCTAGAGAAGATTGTTGTGTTTCTTAAATGGGGATAGCAATAAGGTAATGTAGGCTCCAATTGAATCCTCTTCAGAAAATGGGGCAATGACTCGTTCTCGTTCTGTTCCTTGTTTCCCCCAGGGGCTATTGTCCTTTGCGTGAATCCGGCACATTCACATCCTGAACACTCGCACAAAGAGCCCAACAGCTGCTGCGAGGCGGTGGTGTCTTGTGGCTTACTTTTTATTTTCCATTTGCCCCGACACAAATGGCACTCCACTTCAGGGCTCCCACCTTGCCGGCCGTCCATTGTCAGGTTGTTGCCTGTCTAGGTCTAGGCGGATCCAAACAGAAGTTCAAACTCGAGTGGCAGCGTTTCATTCTTTTTCCAGCTCATTTGCCTTGGGCTTTCTGTCTGTGCCTTACTTGTCAGCACTCAGGAGCTATGCCAATTATGGCCGAACTTTGTAGTAAATGTTCCAGGGGTCCTTGAGTTCACAAAGGGGTTAAATTAATTGGTTATTGACATTTTTATTGCCTTCTAGTAGGGTATTCAGAGAAAGGCTTTCCTTACCTTGCTCTGTACATAAATATGAGTTTATGAGTAATTCTTTCTGATTCAATTAACTCAAGTATAATGCTCTGGCAAGATTTCAGTTGTCATTTGAATGCATAAACAACAGAAAAAAAGAAGACAAGCAAGAAAGATAATCAAGATGATGACAAGTTCAGTTTAAAAACTCTTTGTTAGAGCAAGTCTCCAGAGATGTGTGTTTGTGTGTAACTTGCAGCTTTCTGGAGAATATTTAAAAAGTAAAACTTGCGCCTTGTTTACATTCACATATGTGGATGTATATATAAGACAGTCCTTTATGGGTAAACAAAGGAACTGGAACGAGGTTCGTTGACTTTAATGAAGGAAAACCCAGAAAACCGAAGAGCTTTTTGCTTTATTCTCACGTTTATTTCTTATTTTAATTAGCTAAAAGCTTACAATTTCCTGTGATTTGAATTATTAATTAAATTTAAAGAATTTGCAAATTAAATTTGCAATTACCGCTTGAAAGGGTAACGAAGCTTTGCCAGACGTCCGACAAGATTTTCCTTATTAATGGGCTTAATTAATTAAAATTCATTTGATGGGCGAGAGAACACCAACCCAGACAAAGACATTGGTATATATGTGAATATACCCTAAAAAGACGGGGAAATGTAAATGAAAAATCTGTCAGAATTAATGGGATTCACCGAGCTAAACGAGCAAATCAGCAGCTTATTTGGATTGTATTTCGTTGTCATATCGAATCACACGACTAACTTCATCCTTGCTTACTCTGTCTCCTTGCAGGATGAGCCGCCAACACCAGCGGCATCACCATCACCTGCCGCCGCAGCAGCAACAGCAGCAGCAGCAGCATCATGTGCCGCAGCAGCAGCAACAGCTGACGGCGCAGCAGCAGCTCCTGATGGCGGAGCACGCAGCGGCCGCGGAGGCAGCCGAGCTGTTCGATCTGCTCTGCGTGGCCACAACAATGCGCCAGATCCTCGCCCTGCATCGTTCCATGTGCGAGGCAGTGGGTCTGCGGCCGTCACCCCTCAATGACTTCTATCCTCGGCTGAAGGCCAAGGTGCGCTCGTGGAAGGCACAGGCGCTGTGGAAGAAGTTCGACGCCCGTGCCGCCCATCGGGTGTACGGGAAGGGAGCCGCCTGCTCTGGTACCCGAGTCCTGGTCATCGGAGCCGGACCCTGTGGCCTGCGCACTGCCATCGAGGCGCAGCTGCTGGGCGCCAAGGTAGTGGTGCTGGAGAAACGTGACCGCATCACCCGCAACAATGTGCTGCATTTGTGGCCCTTCGTCATCACGGATCTGCGTAACCTGGGCGCCAAGAAGTTCTACGGCAAGTTCTGTGCTGGCTCCATCGATCACATCTCCATCCGGCAGCTGCAGTGCATGCTGCTCAAGGTGGCCCTCCTGTTGGGCGTGGAGATCCACGAAGGCGTCAGCTTTGAACACGCCCTGGAGCCATCCGGTGACAGCGGCGATGGTTGGCGGGCAGTGGTTACTCCCTCGGATCACGCCGTTTCGCACTACGAATTCGATGTCCTCATCGGAGCGGATGGTAAGCGAAATATGCTGGACTTTAGGCGGAAGGAATTCCGGGGGAAATTGGCCATCGCCATTACTGCCAACTTTATCAATAAGAAAACGGAGGCAGAGGCCAAGGTGGAGGAGATCAGTGGTGTGGCCTTCATCTTCAATCAGGCCTTCTTCAAGGAGCTGTACAGCAGGACGGGTATCGATCTGGAGAACATTGTCTACTACAAAGACGAGACGCACTACTTTGTGATGACTGCCAAGAAGCACAGTCTGATTGACAAGGGTGTGATCATCGAGGACATGGCCGATCCCGGCGAGCTCCTGGCCGCAGCCAATGTGGACACTCAGAAGTTGCACGACTATGCCCGTGAGGCGGCCGAGTTCTCCACCCAATACCAAATGCCCAACCTGGAGTTTGCAGTTAACCATTACGGCAAGCCGGACGTGGCCATGTTTGACTTCACCTCCATGTTCGCAGCGGAGATGTCCTGCCGCGTGATAGTGCGCAAGGGTGCCCGACTGCTACAGTGCCTGGTGGGTGACAGCCTGCTGGAGCCCTTCTGGCCCACCGGATCGGGCTGTGCCCGCGGCTTCCTATCCAGCATGGATGCAGCGTATGCCATCAAGCTGTGGTCCAACCCGCAGAACAGCACGCTTGGCGTACTGGCGCAGCGCGAAAGTATCTATCGGCTGCTCAACCAGACCACGCCGGATACCTTGCAGCGGGACATCAGTGCCTACACCGTAGATCCCGCCACGCGCTACCCGAATCTAAATCGGGAGTCGGTCAACAGTTGGCAGGTGAAGCACCTGGTAGACACGGACGACCCGTCCATACTGGAGGAAACCTTTATGGAAACGCACGCCCTGCAGACGCCGCATGTGGATACGCCGGGCAGGCGTAAGCGACGTAGCGGAGGTTAGAAGTGGAAAAAGAAAACCTAGAACGTTATTTAATGACTTATTTTATTCCTTAGATCTTCTGCCGCAGGGCACATCTCTGCTAAGATGGATAAGTGCCCAGCTGATGGCCTACCAGTTTGTACCGGAGCTCAAGGAGCCTTCAGATGTGTTCCGAAATGGTCGTGTCCTGTGTGCACTTATTAATCGGTAAGTTGTATCTCTTGTAAACTTAAATAGCCCTCTTTAACAGCTTTCATTTCCCTGCTCAGGTATCGTCCCGATCTTATCGATTACGCTGCCACCAAGGACATGAGTCCCGTGGAGTGCAATGAGCTGGCCTTTGCCGTCTTGGAGCGTGAACTGCACGTGGATCGCGTAATGAGCGCCAAGCAATCGATACAGCTGAACGAAGTGGATTCCCGCAGCTGGCTAAACTATTTGGATCAGATCTGCGAAGTGTTCCGCGGCGAAATCCCGCACATAAAGCATCCCAAGATGGACTTTAGCGATTTGCGACAAAAGTATCGCATTAACCACACGCACGCCCAGCCCGATTTCTCCAAGCTGCTGGCCACGAAGCCCAAGGCCAAGTCACCCATGCAGGATGCCGTAGACATACCCACAACGGTGCAGCGTCGTTCGGTGCTGGAGGAGGAGCGGGCCAAGCGGCAGCGTCGCCACGAGCAGCTCCTAAACAGCGGAGCAGGAGCCGCCACTGGGGTGGCCGGAGTGGCAGCGAGTGCCAGTCAGCAGCCGGGTGTGTTGCAGATAACCATACTACACCGTAGTCTGATTGATAAATGAATCCCCAAGTGTGATTGCATAAACTTGTTAAATTGTACAGTGGCAATAAAATCGAATCACTTGGACTACTCCTAAAATCTTAGGATATGCATGCAGCATCTGTCCTTTTTAACGAGAGTCTTGATTGGATTCAGATTTATTTCAAAGATAACTGAAATTATAGTCTAATGTAATGGTATTTTTGTAAGCAATCCACTTGGAGTGTCACTTATCAAAGTCAGAAATTCACAAAAGAACCTATATTTATGTATATTTAATTTCAAATGCAGGTCAAGGTGATACACCGCGTAGATCGAAGAAGCGCCGCCAGGTTGACAAAGCCGCTAACATTGTGAGTAGATTCTGGCATTATTTAATATCATGGATACTTTTTTTATTTTTACCTTGGTAAAAGTTTAATTTACTGAATGTACATTCAAAGAACTTAATTGTTTTTCACCTACAAAATTATGAGTAATGAAATAATGAAATCGCCATAAACAAATTCATAAAAACCAAACCAATCGATAATCTGTTCCCAAGGTTCAGCTCCTGCTGAGAACAGTTCTCTGTCATGAAATCAGTAACGCCATTAGCGCATACGAATCCATCAACGAGGTCAGTTCGCTCAGTGTCCAAGTGTCCAAGTGTCCACGTCCAAGTCCCAGTGTCGTCCTCATGGTCCATTGTGTACTTGTAACACTCTCGACCCACCACCACCAGTACTAACCCACGTAGCATCTCCATCATAGCAGTAGCCAAGTAGTTCTTAGTCATCTGTTCTGTGTCCGCAATCCACACAATCACAATCGTCCCCGAACAATCAAGACCAAGAATCCCAAGTTTACCCCCTCCGAATCTGTCCAATGTGTGTTCAACTATCCAACTCTGCCGCGCAGGAGGAGCGCCAGCAGCGCTTGCAGGAGATCGAGGAGAATCGACAGGAGCGGATGAGCAAGCGGCGCCAGCAGCGCTACCACCAGACGCAGAATTTCTACAAGAGCCTGCAGCTCCTGCAGGCGGGCAAGCTGTTGCGGGAGGGCGGGGACGGCGAGGGTGGCGCTATCGGAGTGGCCGAGGATGGCACTCCCTTCGAGGACTACTCGATATTCCTCTACCGCCAGCAGGCACCGGTCTTCAACGATCGCGTGAAGGACTTGGAGCGGAAGCTTCTGTTTCCCGTAAGCGCTGAGAGCCTTAAGGTTCTTGCTCCTGCACGCTGCGTCTTCTTCAGTGTTGTCGTCCTGTTCGGTTCCTACTTTTCGAGGAACTATTCTAACCCCTGACTAATGCTACTGTCTTGCACCAAAAGTGGTTGTAAAAAATGAAAGAAGCAGCTAACAAACGCTTTGGCTAACAGCTCTGAAGAAAGGATCCTCTCAACTTGGTTTTCAAATTGTATTTTTTGAATTCAAATGTTTGCATGATTTTAAAATAAATAATCTAATGATCTATATTTAATTAATGATTGTGGATCAAGTGTGTCCAAGAAAAGTATTGAACCAACTCCCTTGAGCTTGATATTGTTGTCAAAATATCTTATTTATCCACGATTTCCCACCAGAACTACATCTCTGCCTGTTAATAGATCCTTCTTTAGAACGTTTTCTGTATGAACAATGTTTTTAAAACTAGCGCGGATCGTTACAGCTCAAGTCTAATATATAATTAAGTCTAGATTACAGCCAGGCAGCTTGTTATTAACTTATATATCGCTAAGTTAAACTAAGCTAAGTTCGTTCATCTAACCAGTTCAAAGTTCGAAGATTTTGTCAAGCTTTAGTTCTGTTTTTTGCCTTTTGAGTTTATTGTTTATGTTGTTGATCAGTACTTCTGAAGAAAAAATATTTATCCATATCTGTAACTTTTGATTTCTCCAATCCCTTCCAATCCATCAACGACTTTTAATTATTAAAATGTCCAAAAACCTCACACCTGACCGACCACTAAACACACCAACTACCCTTCGACCAAATCAAGGATCGCGAACGCGGCGACATACCCTCAGCCTTGCCGCGAACGGCGGATGAGCAGTTCAGTGATCGCATCAAGAACATGGAGCAGCGAATGACGGGACGTGGTGGCCTTGGTGGCGACAAGAAACCCAAGGATCTCATGCGGGCCATCGGCAAGATCGACTCCAGCGACTGGAATGTGCGCGAGATCGAGAAAAAGATCGAGCTGTCCAAGAAGACCGAGATCCATGGGCCCAAGGGACGCGAGAAGGTGCCCAAGTGGAGCAAGGAGCAGTTCCAGGCGCGACAGCACAAGATGTCCAAGCCCCAGCGCCAGGATTCCCGCGAGGCGGAGAAGTTCAAGGACATTGACCAAACGATCCGCAATCTGGACAAGCAGCTGAAGGAGGGTCACAATCTCGATGTGGGCGAACGCGGTCGCAACAAGGTGGCCTCCATTGCCGGCCAGTTCGGCAAGAAGGACGAGACGAACTCGGATGAGAAGAATGCGGGCAGTAGCAATGCCACCACTACCAACACCACCACCACCAACAACAACAACACAGTCATCCCCAAATCTGTGAGTAGTTTTGTGTTCCCTGGTTTGTTCTGTTCTGTTTTGGATTTCCCCTCCAGTTTATCCCCATTAGCTTTTTGCTTTGCGTTTTATTTTATTTAATTTTATTTTGGACCTTCGTGGTTGCTTCCTGTGGTTGCTGTGTCCCTGCTGCAGTTGCTCAGTGGCCCAGCCGCTGTTGATGTTGTTAGTGTGCTTTGAGCATAGGTCTTAGGCAATGCCCATACATCAAACACCCACACATCTCACTACACACATCCCTCTCGCATTTGTACATGACACCCATGACCCATCATTGCATTGCAAAGCCAACGTTAATGTTATTTGTAAAGGATCTCCAGCATATTGAGAAGCCCATCTAACACTCCTCCAATCCAATATACAGAGTTCCAAGGTGGCGCTGGCCTTCAAGAAGCAGGCCGCCTCCGAGAAGTGCCGCTTCTGCAAGCAAACCGTCTACCTGATGGAGAAGACCACCGTGGAGGGCCTGGTCCTGCATCGCAATTGCCTTAAGTGCCACCACTGCCACACCAATTTGCGCCTAGGCGGCTATGCCTTCGATCGGGATGATCCACAGGGCCGTTTCTACTGCACCCAACACTTCCGGCTGCCGCCCAAACCGCTGCCACAGCGCACCAACAAGGCCAGAGTGAGTATTGATTCCATGATGATCCCTTAAACATGTGTAACTCTTTCGAATTCTTATAGAAATCCGCTGTTGCTCAGGCTGCTACGTCCGCTGTCACACCATCAGCTCCTGGCACTCCAGTCGCTGCCGCTGCTGCCAACGCACCCACTGAGCCAATGGACACCACACCGGCCAGGGATCAAGTGGACCTTCTGGAGACATCGCGGGCGAATGCCTCAGCGGACGCCATGTCCGACGACGAGGCCAATGTCATCGATGAGCACGAGTGGTCTGATCGAAACTTCCTGCCCGAGTCGATCAACGATTCGCAATCAGAGCTATCTAGTTCCGATGAGTCGGACACGGAGTCGGACTCGGAGTTTGAGGAGGCAGATGATTCGCCCTTTGGCGCCCAGACCCTGCAACTGGCCTCGGAATGGATTGGCAAGCAGTACTGTGGAGACAGCGATGTCTCCGATGACTTTTACGATTCAAGCGAAGGTATTGCGGGTGAGTGGGAGCACAGCAAGGGGTAGCTCTCTGAAAGCTTTGGCTAACTTGATGCTAATATATATTTTGTAGACGACGGCAAGGATGATACGGAAGGCGAGGAGTTCAAGAAGGCGCGAGAACTGCGACGCGAGGAGGTTCGCCTGCAACCACTGCCCGCCAATCTGCCCACGGACACGGAGACCGAGGTGGGTCATATTCAAACTTATCTGTCCTTTTGGTGACGGGGAGACTAACCACCTTCTCATTATTCTCATTTATTCTCCTTGATGACTCTCTCTTACCGATATATATTCTCATGTAAAATCCTCCTCCCTTTAACGGTGTTGGTTTCACCATTGTTCCCCCTCAAATAAGTAGAAGCTTAAGTTGAATATTATTGACAATAAGGAGAACGTGGCCGCCGATAGGAAATCCCTAGAGTCGGGCAATTCCTTTGAATCTGCTCGCAGTCAGCCAGCCACGCCTCTGAACACGCCCACTCGCGTTGAGATGGAGCAGCTGGAGCGGAATGCTCCGCGCAAGTTCAGCAGCGAGATCGAGGCCATTAGCGAGAAGCTTTACCACATGAACAACATGATGAAGATGAACAAGGACCTCGAGGTGCTGGCCAAGGAAAATCTGGTCAAGAGCGATATCCTGCGCAAGCTCACTCTCAAAGAGAAGTGGCTGGCCGAGAATGCGGCCATAGCAGCCGGCCAGAAAGTGGTGGCCCCAGTTCCTGCAGCTGCGGCAACTCCTTCTGCTCCTGCTCCATCTCAACCCAAATCCAAGTTCGATGAAAAGTACGAAAAGGTGGTGAGTCCACCAGCGGCCGTAGTGGAGCCCAAGCCAAAGCCTGTCATAGATTTCAATCTGGATGAGCTGAAGCCGCGCAAGCCCAACTTTGAGGAGCGCCCAAAGGAGCAGCTACCCAGGCCAGCGAGCTTGAAAAAACCACCTCCAGCGAATCACAAGGCAGGCGGCAGCACCAACGTAAGTCGTTCGAGCAGCATGAAGAGTAACGCCAGTACTGGAAGTCCAAAGGTTAAGAAGGCAACGCCCATTGCCAGTGACAAGAAGATGCAGATTGAAGGGATCCTCAGCACCATCAAGAAGATTCAGCGACAACACAGCAGTGATCTAGATGAGGATATGGATGTGGATCAGGATGAGGATATGGGCAACATGCAACCAAATAAACAGCTCAACAGCAAACTGAAGGAAATCCAAGCCAGTAGCTTTGCAGGCACCATGGATCACATCAAGTCGCAGCTGACCATGCCCACTGTAAGTGCCCAGGCAGCGCCCACGGTGGATCTGTCCAAGTACTTTCCCAATCAGAAGGTCGAGAAGAGCTCCACCGGCAACACGAACAAGAACCAAAAGACACTCAAGGATGTGGACTTGGCCAAGTATTTTCCCAGTAGCCCGGCTCCTCAACGAAGAACTGTGGAAACGGTGGCCGAGCGACTAAAGAAGTCGCAAACTGAAGCCTCTCTGGCAAAAGCAAAAGTTCAGGAAGACAAAGCAAAGACGCCACCATCTGATTCCAAGAAACCAGAGGATGTGAAAGGAGCAACAACCAAGAAGGAGACCGAAAAAGTAGTTGGTAGTGGTGGCACCAAACCAGTGCCACCTAAAAGACAGGCCTCTTTGGATACCTTTAGCCTACGGGAGCACCAGATGGATGGAGCACTAGATTTGACAAAAAGAAGGCTCCCGCCAAGACGACAACGGTGATCAAGAAACCAGCAAAGTCGGGAAGTGCCACAAGCCTGACGAAGGCATCAACCACGTCGAAGGGGAAAACCATCAAGATTGTTAAGAAGATTGTGCCCAAGGGAACGAAGGCCAAGAAAGCAGCAGCTGCTGCTGCCCAGGAAACAACAACTGCGGCTGCTGCAGTTGTAGATCCCCCTGAGAAGGAGCCACCAAAAGATGAAGCCGAACGGATTTTGGATGAAATCCTGGCAGACGGGGAAACACGGTCGCCCAGTTCCGAGTATCAGCGTCTGTTCGGTGATGAAAAGTCACCCAGCGATCTGTCCGACAACATTGATCGCATTCTCGAGGAGACGGGCTTGGATCTCGAACTGGGACTGCCCAAGCGCAGTAGTAAGAAGCTGGTGAAGACCAAGTCCCTGGGCGAAGGGGACTTTGATTTGCAGCCCTCGAAGCAACGGCTAACCGGAGTACAGAACATTCTCAAGCGTTTCGAGTCAATGAGTTCTGTGCACTCGCAAAATTCCCAGAACAGCGATGAGCAGGCAGCGTTTAAGCTGCGTCGCATGGAGTCCACCACCAGTAATCTGAGTAGCCTCACCCGCTCCAGGGAGTCGCTGGTCTCTGCCAGCGATTCGATGAGTGACTTGGAGAAGACCATGGACTATCTGCGCAATGAGTGGCGCAACGAGGCTACCAACTTTCTGCAAAAGAAACGTGACAAGTTCTACGCCCAGAAGGAGGAGCAACAGAAGGTGGTGCAGCAGGCTAAGGCTAAGCCGGATCCGATGAGGGATTTGCCTGTGCAGTATCGGGACTCAAAGCTGGCCAAGTTCTTTGGTTTGGGAGCACGTAAATCTCCCGAGAAACGAAAGTCTCCCATCAAGAAAAAGAAGTCGCCCTCAAAGACCCAAAAGGTGGCCAAGTCAAACAACTCTCTGGAGGAGCTGGCCAAGATCAGCAACGCTCGACAGGCGAAGCAAGCTCAAAAGAAGGCGCCCAAAGTGGTTGAGCCTAAACCTTTAAAACCAGCTACTCCTGTTCCCGATGACTTCGAGATCCTTGATTTGCTGGAGAAGGGCACAGAGGCTAAACTGGAGCTGGAACGCTCCAAGACCAAGAGTCCGGCTGTCGAGCAGCCCATTAAAGAGATGCCAAAAGAAGCTATTGCGGAAGTTACTCTGCCCGTGGAAGATATTAAGAATTTACCCAAAACTGGGTGTGATAAATCCCTGAATAGCTCACGTCGTGGCTCTCAGTCTAGTTTGGTTATGTCACGTCGTGCGTCCGAGATTTCGTTAAATGAAAAACTCAACCAGGAGGCGCTGATTGCATTGACCAATCTGGAAAAGGAACGAGAAGCCGAGCAAGTTGACGAACTGTTCCAAAACATGGTGGAGGAAATGGAGAAGGCGCAGGCACAAGAACCGCAGCCCAATGTAACTGTTGAGCCCTTAGAAGATGACATCGATGCGGATTCCCTCTGCACCACCATCAGCAAGAGTCCCAGTGCCCAGCCCGTGACGGTGGTCAAGCGAGGCAGCTCCGAGGATCAGAGCATTGAAAAGCTTTTCGGTCACTTTTCCGACGAGATGTTGGTGAATGTGGAATTCGATTCCAACGATGAGTTAGTAGGTATCACGCCACGGGCTACCCTAGTGGCCAGAGACTCTGCGAATCGGGATTATCTGGATAAGTTGGAGTCTCTGGAACGCGATGAGGACGCTTTCCAGCCTGTTGTTGGAGACAAATTCCAGCAGGATTATAGCCAGGATGAGGTGGATAGCCTGCACTTTCCATCGCGCCCGCAGCGAAGACCCAAAAGCAGCTCATCATCCAGTGAGCCTTCGTTGCCGGTGGTCCCACAAAGGCTAAAGAAGAAGCTGGCCAAGCTTGATCCCGAGGACATGGCACCCTCTGTACAGGATCTCCTCCAACAGGTTTACGCAAAGAACTCAGAGTCTCCAGCTGTGGAAGTAATTCCTATTGAAGGCGCTCGCACTCTAAGGTTCCCTAGTATGTCGGTGGAGGAATATGTCGATGAAGTGGATCACCTAAAGGATGTCGCTGTTCTGGAGAATGGATCGCCGCCAAAAGCAATTGTAGAACAAAGTGTGCCCCAACAGGAAGAGAAGGTCGAGGCAGTGACTCAAACTCCCAAGAAGCCGGTAGATAGCCAGAGTAATTCCCTAAAGAGCGAGAACTCCTCCAGCAGCAGTCTGGTGGAGGTGCCAAAGATTATCACCCCGCCCAAGCCGCACAGCAAGGAGAACTCTGCAGACTGGGACATGGAGAAGCTGCCAGCTTCGCCCATGCCACGTCGAAGGCTGCTACAGGGTCAGCAACCCTCGCAGACCCAGAGTCTGGCCAGCAAGGAGAGCTCCCTGGAGTGGGACATGGAGAAGCTGCCCAGCAGTCCCATGCCCCCGAGGAGGAACAACCGTATGCGACCCGTCTCACCTAGTAACAGCTCTGTGCAGCTTCTCAATAATCTCTCCTCGGATGGTGACGATGAGGCAGCCCAGCGGCGCCTCATCGAGGACTTTGAGCGAGAACGACGCCAGGCGCTGATCAAGCGCGACGAGAATTTTGAGGCCACGGCAGCGGAGCAGCGCCGACGGGACTCCCTGCAGAGCAGCAGCAACTCGAGCAGCAAACGCAGCCTGCCACCGCCCACGCCACCCTCGAAGATGGGCTCCTGTCGAGGCACCACCCAGGATACGAATCGCACCCAAGAGACGGGCACACGGCACGAAGGCACGCCGCCAATGTTCAAGAAACTGGATGTCGACGGCACTGCCACTCCCCTGGACTCCACCACCTGCTCCACGCGGCGCAGCTCGTTTGCATTTATAGAGTTACAGGACAACAAGCCGGTCATTGTGCCCATGCCCAAAAAGCTCAAGTTGCCGAAGCCGGATCAGCCCAGGTTTGTTCCCGAACCGGTGGCGGTTGATGAGCCTGTGCCCGAGGTGTTCCAGGGTCGCTCTTGGCCCAAGGCACAGATCGAAGGGGTCGTGGGGGATCTCGAGGAGTTGGATGAGGAGGAACAGGCGGAAAAGCTGAAGCAAGAGCTGCCGGAGTATGCTCGCTCCGATGGTCCTCCTTCGGCTGCCTTCAAGAATCGCAAGTGGCCAGACGGCAAGACCGTATTCGACCAGCGAGCCGAGTCGCTGGAGGAGGAGGATGTTCTCAGCGGCCTCCTTGGCGGCAAGAGACGAGGCCCCCAATGGTTCAGGGACAAACCGCGCTCCCAGTCGCCGCAGCCCTTTAAGCCGCTGGCCAACAGTTCCCGGCAAAGCTCCAAGTCGTTTAGTGACCTCAAAAAAGGACCCTCCCTGCAATCCCTGTCGGCGCAATCCAGTCAGGATACGGATACACTCTCTACCACCACCACAGTGGCCACAGCTCGTCCCTTGAGCTACAGTGGCTACGACGACCCGATGGACGCCAACACTCAAGCCCTGTTGGATCGCAGCAAGCGGCTGCATAACCGTAAAAGGGACTTTGTCAATGAGCGGGTGGTGGAGCGGAATCCCTATATGAGGGAAGTGCTACGCAGCACGGATCGTCGGGACTACGACGATGTGGACGAGGACCTGACAAGCTACCGGCCGCGTCACTACACCAGTTCCACACTCAACCGTTTCCCCAGCACCTCGACAAGGATAAAGAGCAGCAGCGCCTACGACTACCTCAGTCCCAGCACCAGCGATTACCTGGCCCGGAGGCCTTACACCACCAGCAGCAGCCATATTCCGAGCAGCAGTGCCGCCAGCAGCTATTATCCATCAACTGCACGCAGCTCCCACCTGAGCGATCTGTTCCGGCGACGCAGTCCCGCCGGTGGATCCAGTTACGGCAGCAAAGAGTCGTGCGTTATCTCCTAGTCGTTAGCCCTGAACCATTGACCAAAGCAGCCTTCTCTTTTCATTTATATTTTATCCCCGTTGTGGCCACAGACGACGCCTCAACTACTTTCTCTACTGAGAGCCAACCCAGCGTCAGCGAAACCAACCCCAGAAACCGAAACCGAAACAGACCCAGACCATGACCCAGACCCTACCCTGATCTCGACCCTTACAAGACACTATAGGTCCACCCACAAAACCAACCAAAGAACCAACCAAGCTAGTTCGCCCGCCCGCCTGTCTGCTCTCGATGTGCCACCGCCTAGTCAAGTCCAAGTCCTCCAACCAGCCACCGATCGGGCTAGCCTCTGATCGCGTTAGCCAATTGATTGAAAAGTAAATGCACCTGGGTACGATCTACGAAGGTAAATTCAAGCAAAGCCACACACGAAATGTTGCGCTAACCCCGAACTCAAGCAGCCCAAAAACAAATCAAAAAAATATATGAAACAAAAGCCGACAGTTTGTAGTCTCTAAAAACCTCTAAAGTGTTGTGTCGTTCTGTTGCCGTGTCCACCAATAAGAAATGGTCTAACCCCATGCCACCTAAGCTAATCCTGGCCAGCGTTCGTTCGTTCTTCGTTCTGTCCTCCAGCCTTCCTTTCGTTTCCCTTCTGGATCGTACCTAAAAGGCATGACGTGCTGCGATTTGCTTCCGCGCTCTCTCGCTCTGTCTCTCTATTGTTGCTGATGCTAATCTAACCCACTTACTCCGACTAATGAGCATGTTGCGAGCCAAGCCGAAGGCGCCTGCTGTACATTAATAATGCACCTCCAGCGAGGGTGGGATCCGGTGGCATCTGACCGATGTCCACTGCTCCCGTGTTGCTCTCTTCGCTTCTGTTTTACGTTCGTTACTTGCCGCCCCACTTGCTCTGTTTTAACGCCCGCTAATCGAGACATGCCACTCCGTTCCTCCTCCTCTTGCAGGTCCAAACCGAGTCCGAGACCAGCTCACCCGACGAGGTCGAGCTCAATTCTGCCACTGAGATATCCACCGATTCTGAGTTCGACAACGATGAGATCATACGCCAGGCGCCCAAAATCTTCATCGATGACACCCATCTAAGAAAGCCCACGAAAGTACAGGTAAGTAAAAGTTCTCCCCCTCAATGAAAGCTCTCTAAGGGATTTACTCTTTCACAGATCAAGTCCACTACGATCGGACCGAATGCTGCTGCTGCCGCCGCCGCCGCTGGACTCCATCAGAAGCAGCTGGCGGCACGGGAAAAGGGAGGCAGCTACTTGCCAAAGTACCAACCGCAGCCACCTCTGCCGCAGTTCAAGCCCCTGGTACAGGTGGATCCAACGCTGCTAATTAGCAGCCAGCGCGCTCCGCTCCAGAATCCGCGTCCCGGCGACTACTTGCTGAACAAGACGGCCAGCACCGAGGGCATTGCTTCGAAGAAGAGCCTGGAATTGAAGAAACGCTACCTGCTGGGAGAGCCGGCCAATGGCAACAAGATCCAAAAGTCGGGCTCCACCTCGGTGCTGGACTCGCGCATTCGCAGTTTCCAGTCGAACATTTCGGAGTGCCAGAAACTGCTCAATCCTAGCAGCGACATCAGCGCCGGCATGCGAACGTTCCTCGATCGCACAAAGCTGGGCGAGGGCAGCAGTCAATCTGGCGGACAGTCCAACGAACTGATGCGTTCCGCCACCAGCAATGTGATCAATGACTTGCGCGTCGAGCTCCGGATACAAAAGGCTCCCTCCAGTCACTCCACGGACAACGAGAAGGAGAACGTGTTCGTAAACTGCAAGAACGAGCTGAACAAGGGCATGGAGTACACGGATGCGGTGAATGCCACGCTGCTGGACCAGCTGGCCAGAAAGACGTCGCCCACGACGCCGGCGACCAACAAGACGGTAATCGAAGTGATTGACCTGGTGACGCCCGAGAAGCCGGTGCCTATTATTGATCTCACTTCAAATGAGACCCTAAAAAGCAGATAGAGGCAGACGACAGCAACAAGATCAGCGAACTGCAAAAGGAGGTGATTGTAAAGGAGGAGCCCAAGCCCGATGTATCGCGGGATGTGAAGGAGTGCATTCCGGACATACTCGGTCACATCAAAGAGACGCCGCAGCAGGACGGTGGCGAGGAGCAGCAGAGTCTGCTGGGGCAGTCGGACGAAGAGAAACGTGACTCCCCGGAGAAGGAGGTGGGAGAGCAGGAGCCCAGTTATGAACCGGACAGCGTGCAGATCCAGGTGCCCAACATACCCTGGGACAAGAGCAAGCCGGAGGCTATGTCGACAACAGGCAGCAGCGGCTCCATCTGCTCCAGCTCCGACTCTTCCAGCATTGAGGACATCCAGCACTATATCCTGGAGTCGACAACTAGTCCGGATACCCAGACAACGGCAGGTGGCAAGCACAATGTGCCGCGTTTGGAAGTCCATGACACAAGTGGGGCCCTAATGCAGGTTGATAGCCTGATGATCGTAAATGGGAAGTACATTGGCGATCCCGAAGATGTCAAGTTCCTGGATATGCCTGCCGATGTCATCGTCCCGCCCGCTCCGGCGTTAAAAACCAGCGAGCTGGAGCCAGAGGATGACCACGAAACGGAGGAGGTGGAGCCAGTGACGGCTACGCCTGAGCCTGCCGAGTGCACCGTCATCGAGGCGGAACGTCAGCCTCCTCCTCTACCGGATATGGGACCACCGACTCTGAAGTTTGACACCAAAAATGAGAACAAGATCGAGAGCTTGAAGAACCTGCCTCTGATCGTGGAGAGCAGCGTGGGCCACAGTCAGGCGGTGAAACCCATTACGCTTAATTTGAGCAGCTTGGCCAGGACGCCGGATACACCGACCACGCCCACGGCGCATGATAGCGACAAAACGCCCACCGCAGAGGTCTTCTCCAGGGGCTCCGATTCGGAAACGGAGCCCACGGGCACGGGTACCGGTCAAGTGCTGACGGAAACGGAGCTATCCGACTGGACAGCCGATGACTGCATCTCGGAGAACTTTGTTGACATGGAGTTCGTGCTGAACTCAAACAAGGGAACCATGAAACGTCGCAAGGAGCGGCGGCGCAGCGGAGCTAACAAGCTACCCAGTGGCAATGAGGTCATCCACGAGTTGGCCCGACAAGCACCAGTGGTGGAAATGGACGGCATCCTCAGTGCCATTGATATCGATGACATTGAGTTCATGGACACTGGATCGGAGGGATCCTGCGCAGAGGCGTATTCCGCAACAAACACGGCTCTTCTGCAAAACAGAGGGTACATGGAGTACATCGAGGCAGAGCCGAAAAAGCCCACTCCTAGAGCAGCGCCGCCCTCCAGCTACCATGGCAACCTGCCGCCGCTGGTGACCAAGCGGGATGAAAAGCTGGGCATCGATTACATCGAGCAGGGAGCATACATCATGCAGGACGATGCCAAGACGCCGGTGAACGAAGTGGCACCCGCCATGACCCAATCTCTGACCGATTCCAGCACTCTGAACGAGCTGGATGACGACAGCATGGCAGGCCTGGGCTTGTCCCAGACACAGCCAACCACAACGGAGGAGAGCGAGGCTCTGACAGTGGTCACCAGTCCGTTGGATACCTCATCGCCGCGGGTTCTCGACCAATTCGCCTCGATGCTGGCGGCTGGCAAGGGGATTCCACGCCCAGCAGCTCGGAGCAGCAACCAAAGACCTCAACGGTGACCAGCAGCAGCAGCGGTCCCAATTCCTCCACCCCGGGCAATGCCACCAAGGAGACCGCTCCGCAAGAAGAGGATCTGCAGATCCAGTTCGAGTATGTCCGAGCCCTGCAGCAGCGCATCTCGCAGATCAGCACCCAGCGGCGCAAGAGCTCCAAGGGAGAGCCACCGAACCTAACTGTGATAGAATCTGTCGAGGATCAGCCAAAGGCAGCGGAGGCTGCAGAGGCCATGCCCTCGATGCGGCCGCGCAGCTGCAGCAGCTCCAGTAAAGTACCTGAGATACCCACGCTCAGCAGCAAGCTGGAGGAGATCACCAAAGAGCGCACCAAGCAGAAGGATCTCATCCACGATCTGGTCATGGACAAGCTGCAGTCAAAGAAGCAATTAAACGCCGAGAAGCGTCTGCACAGGAGTCGACAACGAAGTCTTCTCACCAGTGGCTATGCCAGCGGTGCCAGCCTAAGTCCCACACCCAAGCTGGCAGCTGCTTCCAGTCCGCAGGATTCCAACTGCTCCAGCCAGGCGCACTATCACGCATCCACAGCGGAGGAGCGACCACCGAAGCCCGTCGACGAGAGGCCGCTGCAGAAGTCCGCAACATCTACTTACGTGTCACCCTATCGCACTGTCCAGGGGGCAATACGGAGTGCTGATCGCTATAAGCAACGTCCCTTCAGCGAGCACATCGATGCCAGTGCCTTGGAGGGCTACAAACTGGGCAAAACGGCCTCCTTTAATGGCGGCAAGCTGGGTGAGTTCGTCACGCCCATTGCCCCAGCGCGAGTAGTTCGCGGTGGAGGTGGAGGAGCAGCGGCACCGGATATTTCCAATATATCCGCCTCAACGGAAAACCTGAGAAGCGAGGCCAGGGCTAGGGCTCGGCTCAAGTCCAACACCGAGCTGGGTCTCAGTCCCGAGGAGAAAATGCAGCTATTGCGGTCGCGCCTTCACTACGATCATCCCAGATCCTTAAAACCAAAGCAAATGGAGGAGCTGCCCTCTGGCGATCTGGCAGCCCGTGCCCGCAAAATGAGTGCCTCAAAGAGTGTCAACGATCTGGCGTACATGGTGGGTCTGCAGAACCAACAGCAGCAGCAGCAGCTGGAACAGGATGTTGTGCTTCATGCCAAGGCGGCGGATTTCACATCCGATCCCAATATAGCGGCTGGCGGTGGCGGTTGTCAGGAGAAGTCAACGAAAACTAAGTCCGGGCGGAGGACCAAGGATCCAGAGCGGCGGAAGAGTCTCATTCAGTCGTTGTCCAGCTTCTTCCAGAAGGGTTCATCATCGGCAAGTGCCAAGGAACAGGGAACAGTTGTCGGTACTACAGCTGGCGGCCACTCTGAGCAGTCAGAGCGACCCGGCACCAGCAGCAGCAGCAGCGGCGGCACGTCCACAATCTCAGATGCGGCGACCGCTGGAGGAGGAGGAGGAGGAGGCGGCGTCTTCAGTCGATTCCGCATTTCGCCCAAGTCCAAGGAGAAGTCCAAGGTTAGTGTTATGTTGGCTCAAGGGAATGTGTGGTACCTATAATGTGGTTCTGGTGTTCAAGTGTGTTGTCTGCTCTCGTAGAGTGTGGCTATCGAATCACCCGGCGCCCTCACCTAGCCTTAAGTTATATATTATTAACCAAGACTCCTTGGTATCTGGTGTTCTACGTAATACAAGTGTCGTCTCATTTATAACATTTACCAACTTCTCTTCATCACTTTGCAGTCTTGCTTTGATCTGAGGAGTTTCGGTTTTGGTGTAAGAAATATTTTAACTATATCCTAAACCCTGTTACCAAAGACCTTATAAGAACAATATGTACGTATAAGGCTGTACGAATTTGTTTTTTTACATTTTTAAAATTGTCGCTTGCATTTGGCAATTGAATTGTATAAGCGTTATAAATTATTGTATTATAAGGTCTTTGGTATAACACTCACTTTGTATTTTCTTTCCCTCACACAAAACGCTTAGTGTTTTTACTTTTTTGGCTCGCACATCCCAAATAATTTCATAATCGCAAAGCTTTTCATCTAACTGGGTTCTCTACTTGTCTGTTTTGCTATCTCCTATTAACAATACTTACCTATTTCAATATTTTATAAATTGTTTTATATTTTAATTTGTTTTCATTTATTTTACTTTCATTTTCTTTTACCCCGATTCCAGCTAAAGTTATTTAAGTCTTAACTTTTAAGTTTTGCCTGCTGTTATTTTTATTATTTCACCCCTTGACCTTAACATTTATGTTTACTTGACTTTATGTGTATCCTTAAGAGGTGTTATCTATAGTTTTTAAGTAATTTTTTATTGGGTTAAGCTACATTTTATTTTTATTTATTGTTGGGAGACAAGTTGTGTTATTTTTTTAAGTTTTAAGATGGATACTATTGCATGATTGGATCTGGAACTGGTGGTTATGGTTTGCCTCTTGGACCCACTTTGCACGTTTAATGTATATACAATACTTTTGCCAGTAAATAACATTTTGATTTTAGCAAGACAAGACTGAAATCTTTTCAATCACCCATACAAACACAAAATAATTTAACCCAACTATATATATATTCTGATACCTCTAAACACATCGCAATACCAACAACCATCATCAGGACAAGGAAAATATGCTCGTCTGCCAAGCCACCGCGGCGACAGCGGGAGGCGCGTCCCAAGATTATCTGAACAACAGTAACAACAGTCGCTATCGAAAGCAAACGAACAACACTGCGAACAAACCGAAACCCGAATCGTTCTCATCGTCCAGTCCGCAGCTCTACATACACAAGCCCCACCAACACCACCACCACCACCACCTGGCCACAGCGATTCCAAGGGCCTTGGACGACCAGACACCGCCGCCCATACCGCCTCTGCCACTGAATTATCAGAGATCCGATGGTTTGTTCTTCTTGTACTCATTCTATATGTCCCCCCCGCCAGAATCCTCTCCAGACTCAATTGTTGTCACCTTTCTCTGTGTGTGAGTGTATTTTAATCCGATTTATTCGATTCCAGATGAGAGTTACGCTAACGAGACACGAGAGCATAAGAAGCAACGTGCCATATCGAAGGCTTCGCGACAAGCTGAGCTCAAGCGACTACGAATCGCTCAAGAAATACAGCGCGAACAGGAGGAGATTGAGGTGCAGTTGAAGGAACTGGAGGGACGCGGCGTCCACATTGAGAAGGCCCTGCGGGGCGAGGGGCAGAACCTGGAGAAGTGGGTTTTTTAATCATATAAATCGAATTTTTAATTACAAACTAACTAATTGTTCTCCTTAGCCTGGACTCGAGCAAGGACAACGATGAGAAGCTACTAAAGGAACTATTGGAGATTTGGCGCAACATCACAGCACTCAAGTAAGTCAAGACGTCAAGAAAAAAGTAACAAAAGAGTAGACTAATTCAATTGATTTTGTGCTTAGAAAACGCGATGAGGAACTGACTATAAGACAACAGGAACTGCAATTGGAGTATCGACATGCCCAGCTCAAGGAAGAGCTCAATCTGCGATTGTCCTGCAACAGTAAGTTCTATAGTTACCTATTTAGCAGAGTTCTGCTATTTGGTTAAGTTCATTATTTAATTTTGCTAAACTTTTCCACAGAACTGGACAAGAGTTCCGCCGATGTGGCCGCCGAGGGTGCAATACTTAATGAAATGCTGGAAATCGTCGCCAAGCGAGCGGCTCTGCGGCCAACCGCCTCCCAACTGGACCTCACAGCGGCTGGCATTTCAAGCGAGGCAGCGACTGGCATTAAGCTGGTCGGCCAACCGCTTGACCACGATGAGTCCAATGTGAGTGGAGTCACTTTTTCATCCCAAAAGTACGACCTGAATTAACTAATTCGATTTCTCCTTTAGATTTGAATAGCAAACTGGGGTCGTCTGCTGGTCTACGAAGTTGCACGCGGACTGCTAAGCCTAAATACTTAAGAACGTACCAAAAACAGCAAGCTGAATTATGAAAACTAACAATACTGATACTAGAACCCATGAGCTGTAACCGAAACGAGCAAATAACTATTCAGAGTGATTAAGCGATTTGAGGGAGAGGACAACTCGAACAATATATATTTAAGTAGTGAGTGAGCGAGTAAGCGCACGCATCAAGGTTAAAGTGTAGTGTAAAGGCAGAGAGAGGAAATCAACACCAAAAACTAATTTTGCAATTTGAATGTAATGCCCTTAGTTCTGTATTCTCAAGCTAATTGTATGTTTAGTTAGTTAGTCGTTGCCACTGAATTCTGTCTGATCTGTGTATGTTGTGTTTTTCTGTTTTCTATTTTCTATTTTTTTACAAATGTAATGCGTTGGTTTTTGATTGTGTAATGTAATGTGTACTACGTTTTGTGCAAAGTGCAGGGTTTGTTGTAATTTGTGTGTGCTTGAGTTTTAGGCACACAATTGTTTATCGATTTCTTTGTATACCGCTTGAATGTATTATTATTTATTTGATGAATGCAATGTAATTTAATATGTCATTTGCTGCCCAAACCAAAATCAAAGTGAACACAAAGAGATGCACACAAATACATTACATATTTTCTATATGCGAGAGAGCGTACATAGTAGGAGATGTAGGAGAGCAAACAGTTGCTCTGTATACTAATGGAAACGATTTAAATTATTGCGTAATTTAATTTATAACCTCTGCATATATAAACATATTTATCGAATTTATTATGTAACTTTTCGATTTATTTTAAATTGAATAAAGATTTTATGAAACCTACCACTGGATGAGTTTTAGTATTTAATATTTGATTATATACTATAGAGAGAAATTAATACAATTAATTTCAATATATTTTTATCAGCATGTTTTATTTGATAAGTTGGGTACATATAATATATATAAAGGCAAATGGAATATATTAATTTTCCTTAATTGGAATAATTATTTCTTTGCAAATTCTGGCGGACAGTCTGGTTGCTTGAAGGGATGAGTGGACTTGATCACTTCCAGTTCCAGCAGCTCCTTGTCCAAGCGGACTATGGTTGGATATGGGCTCAGGTCGACTTTGTACCTAATATATATAATTAACCCTTTAGTAGTTTTTCAAAATTAGTGTATATATAATATAATACCTTTTGGCATTGTGTACCTGAGGCACCAGGCAAATATCCGCCATTGTGAGCTCATTTCCCACGCAATACTTGCCCGCGGATTGGCCAAGTATTTTCTCCAGGCCGCTAAATCCCCGGGAAATCCAGTGCTGAGCCCATTCCAGACTCTTGTCCTTACCGATATGCTCCAGGACCCCGACATTCTGCAGCGGCTGAATGCCCGAGCAAATCAGCTGCACAATTTCATTGACCTTGGCCCTGATCAAAAGATCTTGGGGCAGGAGAGTAGGCTGCGGACGAGTCTGCTCGAGATAGTGCATTATCGCCACAGAGTCGCACAGGGAATGTCCGTCTAGATTGTTTAATTGAGATATGAAATATATTTCAACTAAGATACATATGTAGCTATAGTTCTTACCAATCTTCAAAGCAGGAACTTTCTGCATGGGATTCACTTTTAGATACTCAGGGGTATAAGCATGATTGCTGACTGTCTTCAGCAAGGATGTTGGTTTAATATCGTAACTTATATCTTTGAGATTCAGTGCTATACGAACTCTCCACGAACATGAACTGGCCCAGTATGAATATAGTATAGGATGGGAGTTTGTGGACATATTTCGGTTGAAAAAGTGTACCAAAGATGGTGAGAATTGAAGTACCTTTCCTGCAGCAGGCATCTTTTATCGGTATTTATAATAAAATCTGCTTTTTGTTGTATAATAAAACAATCAAACTGGTTATAGGCTGTTTAATTAAGCTATTTAGTAAAGATTCCAGCGACCAGCTGATTTTGATAGAATTTTCTGTGCTGAGAAATATCGATGATAACGTTGTGTATATATAGGACTATCCTAAAAGCAGGCTGTACTAGAAAAATTGTATAAATTAATTTTGATATATATACGAATTAGCAGAAATTGTTTGATTTTTAAGGAAACATGTGGCTTGTGTACAGATAACAAAAAATTTTGCCTTGGTGATTGATTGGACTCAAAAAATTCGGAAGGCTTTTCTGTGCTAGTTTTTATTGCACTATTAAATCTGCATACTGCGTTTGTTGATGCTATTGTTAGTTTTTGACTAAAATTATAAAACCTGACAAAAGGGTATAAAAACAGACAATTTTGTCAAAAAATCATAGTCTTAAAAAACGCATAACTAGTCCAAAAGAATCATTAATTTCAATTCGGAAAGCTGTTCTATGCTAATTTGTAATTGGTTAACAAATCTGCATACTCAGTTTTCAAATTTAACAACTTCAATTTTTTGTCAAATTTTGACAATTTTAATGATGTAACCCCTTATAAAATTTTCAATTTTCGAAAAAATTTCAAAAATGTATTTTTCGACCGGACATGTCTAGATCGACTTAGCTCTTGATGCTGATCAAGAATATATATGGTTTGTAGGGTCGGAAATGCTTCCTTCTCATCGTTACAAGCTTCTGTCTCTCTTACTCCTTTACGGAGGATCTAGAAAAGAATTTATCAATCCTGACGATCCTAATCAGGATAATGAAAAATGTTTTTCAAATTATTGCATTGTCACCGGTCCTTGAACAGTATGCAAACTTTGAAGCTTATCAGATATTTGAAAACCTTGAAAATAGTGTTCAAAGTTTTCGTTACATCTCGAGCAAAAAAATTTGGCGAATTCTCCATACAAATTTCTTAATTTCTTGGTTTTGTGTACCAGGCAAACAGAAAGCTCCGCAAGCAGCTATTCAGCTGATTAAAAAGTTCTAAAATAACGGATCTTAAAAGAGAGTAACGTGAAGAACCTCTCTGATTGGTCAGTTGAAACGTAAACAAAGAGCGGCCATTAGGTTAAATTCAAATGTAAACAAAGGGCGCCATTAAAAAGTCCTGATGTAACGGATCTTTAAAGAGGGGAACGTCTCTGATTGGTCAATTCAAACGTAAACAAAGAGCGGCCATTAGGTTCTGGAAAAGATCCGTTATAAACAGCTCGTGCTGTTGTGCTGCTGGGTCACTGCCATCTGTTTCTGTTTGCCTGGTTAAACCAATTGCTGAATTAGTCTGACTACAGCCCATATTTGTAAGAAATAACAACAAATCCAACAACACACGTAGCTGAATTGTCGAAATTCGCTATTCAACTCGTGTCTTTATGTACCAGGCAAACAGAATGTTCCACAAGCAGCTGATCCGCTGATACAAATGTCCTAAAATAACGGATCTTAAAAGAGGGAGATGTGAAGAACCTCTCTCTAATTGGTCAATTCAAATGTAAACAAAGGGCGGCCATTAGATTAAATTCAAATGTAAACAAAGGGCGACCATTAAAGTTCTGAAGTAACCTCTCTGATTGGTCAATTCAAACGTAAACAAAGGGCGGCCATTAGGAAAGTTGAAAAGATCCGTTATAATCAGCAAGTGCTGTTGTGCTGCTGCTGAGTTGCTGCCAGCTGTTTCTGTTTGCCTGGTATAATTATTAAATTTGTCTGCTTAAATAACGCCGAGCCGGGGCTAGGCAGATTTTTTTTTGTAATGAAAACTGACATCGGGAAGCTTTAATGCTTCGGCTTTCCAAAGATAGGTTTATTTGTTGTTATTCCTGATTTTAGAAGTAAATTAGAAAATTTCGAAAATTAAAAATATGAATTCTCTGGGTTTGAGTTAAATTTAATAAAACGAGGTGAGAATAGCAGCTTCTAATAATTGCACTACTTTTTGCTTTTGTCCTTGTCCTTAACGGTGTACTTGTCATAGGATTTTATGGGATCGTACGGCTCCCAGCGGCTGGCCGGGAAGATGTGCTTGGTTCGTTCGTACCAGGATGGCGGAGCACCTTGCCAGCGTGCGTCTCCTCTTTTTCGACAGAGGCATCGCTGATAATGCGCACGTCGTCGTGGACGTCGACCTGGAAGAGCGGACCGGACTTACCGCGGGCCTTAGTCACAATAAAGGCGTCAAAGGAGTAATGGGGCGGCAGTACCAGATCCTCCTTGACATACATCAGCTGGTCGGCCATCACGGTCTTCAGTTCGATAAACTCCTTGCGCAGCAACTCAAGGCACTTTTACAGGAACTGGTAGATGGAGTTTCCCTTCTTTATCAGTACGCTGCGCCGATGGTTTAATGGATGGATTTAATTTGAAAACTGAGTATGCAGCTTTGTTAATCTTCTTAAAAGTAGCATAGAACAGCTTTCCGAATTAAAATTAATGATTTTTTGGCTTAGTTATGAGTTTTTTAAAACTATAATTTTTGGGAAAAATTGTCTGTTTTTATACCTTTTTGCGGGGTTTTTATAATTATAGTCAGAAACTTATAACAGCATCAACAAACGCAGTATGCAGATTTGTTAGTGCTATAAAAAGTTGCACAGAAAAGTTTTCCGAATCAAAATTAATGCTATTTTGGCTTAATTATGATGTTTGGAAAACTCAGATTATTTAAGAAAATTGTCTGTTTTTATACCTTTTTTCGGAGTATAGCTTCAATTCGAAGATTAAAACGCAGTGAAAGAATCATTTCCGACCCTATAAACCATATATATTCTTGATCAGCATCAACAGCCCAGTCGTTCTAGCCATGTCTGGTCAAAAAATAAATTTTCGACATTTTTCCGAAAATTGAAAATTTTATAAGGGGTTACATCATTAAAATTGCCAAAATTTGACAAAAAATTGAATTTTTTATATTTAAAAACTGAGTATGCAGCTTTGTTAATCTACTAAAAAATAGCATAGAACAGCTTTCCGAATAAAAATTAATGATTTTTTGGCTTAGTTATGAGTTTTTTAAAACTATGATTTTTGGGAAAAAATGTCTGTTTTTATACCTTTTTGCGGGGTTTTTATAATTATAGTCAGAAACTTATAACAGCATCAACAAACGCAGTATGCAGATTTGTTAGTGCTATAAAAAGTTGCACAGAAAAGTTTTCCGAATCAAAATTAATGCTATTTTGGCTTAATTATGATGTTTGGAAAACTCCGATTATTTAAGAAAATTGTCTGTTTTTATACCTTTTTTCGGAGTATAGCTTCAATTCGAAGATTAAAACGCAGTGAAAGAATCATTTCCGACCCTATAAACCATATATATTCTTGATCAGCATCAACAGCCCAGTCGTTCTAGCCATGTCTGGTCAAAAAATAAATTTTCGACATTTTTCCGAAAATTGAAAATTTTATAAGGGGTTACATCATTAAAATTGCCAAAATTTGACAAAAAATTGAATTTTTATATTTAAAAACTGAGTATGCAGCTTTGTTAATCTACTAAAAAATAGCATAGAACAGCTTTCCGAATAAAAATTAATGATTTTTTGGCTTAGTTATGAGTTTTTTAAAACTATGATTTTTGGGAAAAATTGTCTGTTTTTATACCTTTTTGCGGGGTTTTTATAATTATAGTCAGAAACTTATAACAGCATCAACAAACGCAGTATGCAGATTTCTTAGTGCTATAAAAAGTTGCACAGAAAAGTTTTCCGAATCAAAATTAATGCTATTTTGGCTTAATTATGATGTTTGGAAAACTCAGATTATTTAAGAAAATTGTCTGTTTTTATACCTTTTTTCGGAGTATAGCTTCAATTCGAAGATTAAAACGCAGTGAAAGAATCATTTCCGACCCTATAAACCATATATATTCTTGATCAGCATCAACAGCCCTGTCGTTCTAGCCATGTCTGGTCAAAAAATAAATTTTCGACATTTTTCCGAAAATTGAAAATTTTATAAGGGGTTACATCATTAAAATTGCCAAAATTTGACAAAAAATTGAATTTTTTATATTTAAAAACTGAGTATGCAGCTTTGTTAATCTACTAAAAAATAGCAAAGAACAGCTTTCCGAATAAAAATGAATGATTTTTTGGCTTAGTTATGAGTTTTTTAAAACTATGATTTTTGGGAAAAATTGTCTGTTTTTATACCTTTTTGCGGGGTTTTTATAATTATAGTCAGAAACTTATAACAGCATCAACAAACGCAGTATGCAGATTTGTTAGTGCTATAAAAAGTTGCACAGAAAAGTTTTCCGAATCAAAATTAATGCTATTTTGGCTTAATTATGATGTTTGGAAAACTCAGATTATTTAAGAAAATTGTCTGTTTTTATACCTTTTTTCGGAGTATAGCTTCAATTCGAAGATTAAAACGCAGTGAAAGAATCATTTCCGACCCTATAAACCATATATATTTTGATCAGCATCAACAGCCCAGTCGTTCTAGCCATGTCTGGTCAAAAAATAAATTTTCGACATTTTTCCGAAAATTGAAAATTTTATAAGGGGTTACATCATTAAAATTGCCAAAATTTGACAAAAAATTGAATTTTTTATATTTAAAAACTGAGTATGCAGCTTTGTTAATCTACTAAAAAATAGCATAGAACAGCTTTCCGAATTAAAATTAATGATTTTTTGGCTTAGTTATCAGTTTTTTAAAACTATGATTTTTGGGAAAAATTGTCTGTTTTTACACCTTTTTGCGGGGTTTTTATAATTATAGTCAGAAACTTATAACAGCATCAACAAACGCAGTATGCAGATTTGTTAGTGCTATAAAAAGTTGCACAGAAAAGTTTTCCGAATCAAAATTAATGCTATTTTGGCTTAATTATGATGTTTGGAAAACTCCGATTATTTAAGAAAATTGTCTGTTTTTATACCTTTTTTCGGAGTATAGCTTCAATTCGAAGATTAGAACGCAGTGAAAGAATCATTTCCGACCCTATAAACCGTATATATTCTTGATCAGCATCAACAGCCCAGTCGTTCTAGCCATGTCTGGTCAAAAAATAAATTTTCGACATTTTTCCGAAAATTGAAAATTTTATAAGGGGTTACATCATTAAAATTGCCAAAATTTGACAAAAACTTGAATTTTGTATATTTAAAAACTGAGTATGCAGCTTTGTTAATCTACTAAAAAATAGCATAGAACAGCTTTCCGAATTAAAATGAATGATTTTTTGGCTTAGTTATGAGTTTTTTAAAACTATAATTTTTGGAAAAATTGTCTGTTTTTACACCTTTTTGCGGGGTTTTTATAATTATAGTCAGAAACTTATAACAGCATCAACAAAGGCAGTATGCAGATTTGTTAGTGCTATAAAAAGTTGCACAGAAAAGTTTTCCGAATTAAAATTAATGCTATTTTGGCTTAATTATGATGTTTGGAAAACTCCAATTATTTAAGAAAATTGTCTGTTTTTATACCTTTTTTCGGAGTATAGCTTCAATTCGAAGATTAAAACGCAGTGAAAGAATCATTTCCGACCCTATAAACCATATATATTCTTGATCAGCATCAACAGCCCAGTCGTTCTAGCCATGTCTGGTCAAAAAATACATTTTCGACATTTTTCCGAAAATTGAAAATTTTATAAGGGGTTACATCATTAAAATTGCCAAAATTTGACAAAAAATTGAATTTTTTATATTTAAAAACTGAGTATGCAGCTTTGTTAATCTACTAAAAAATAGCATAGAACAGCTTTCCGAATTAAAATTAATGATTTTTGGCTTAGTTATCAGTTTTTTAAAACTATGATTTTTGGGAAAAATTGTCTGTTTTTACACCTTTTTGCGGGGTTTTTATAATTATAGTCAGAAACTTATAACAGCATCAACAAACGCAGTATGCAGATTTGTTAGTGCTATAAAAAGTTGCACAGAAAAGTTTTCCGAATCAAAATTAATGCTATTTTGGCTTAATTATGATGTTTGGAAAACTCAGATTATTTAAGAAAATTGTCTGTTTTTATACCTTTTTTCGGAGTATAGCTTCAATTCGAAGATTAAAACGCAGTGAAAGAATCATTTCCGACCCTATAAACCATATATATTCTTGATCAGCATCAACAGCCCAGTCGTTCTAGCCATGTCTGGTCAAAAAATAAATTTTCGACATTTTTCCGAAAATTGAAAATTTTATAAGGGGTTACATCATTAAAATTGCCAAAATTTGACAAAAACTTGAATTTTGTATATTTAAAAACTGAGTATGCAGCTTTGTTAATCTACTAAAAAATAGCATAGAACAGCTTTCCGAATTAAAATTAATGATTTTTTGGCTTAGTTATGAGTTTTTTAAAACTATAATTTTTGGAAAAATTGTCTGTTTTTACACCTTTTTGCGGGGTTTTTATAATTATAGTCAGAAACTTATAACAGCATCAACAAAGCAGTATGCAGATTTGTTAGTGCTATAAAAAGTTGCACAGAAAAGTTTTCCGAATTAAAATTAATGCTATTTTGGCTTAATTATGATGTTTGGAAAACTCCAATTATTTAAGAAAATTGTCTGTTTTTATACCTTTTTTCGGAGTATAGCTTCAATTCGAAGATTAAAACGCAGTGAAAGAATCATTTCCGACCCTATAAACCATATATATTCTTGATCAGCATCAACAGCCCTGTCGTTCTAGCCATGTCTGGTCAAAAAATAAATTTTCGACATTTTTCCGAAAATTGAAAATTTTATAAGGGGTTACATCATTAAAATTGCCAAAATTTGACAAAAAATTGAATTTTTATATTTAAAAACTGAGTATGCAGCTTTGTTAATCTACTAAAAAATAGCATAGAACAGCTTTCCGAATAAAAATTAATGATTTTTTGGCTTAGTTATGAGTTTTTTAAAACTATGATTTTTGGGAAAAATTGTCTGTTTTTATACCTTTTTGCGGGGTTTTTATAATTATAGTCAGAAACTTATAACAGCATCAACAAAGCAGTATGCAGATTTGTTAGTGCTATAAAAAGTTGCACAGAAAAGTTTTCCGAATCAAAATTAATGCTATTTTGGCTTAATTATGGTGTTTGGAAAACTCCGATTATTTAAGAAAATTGTCTGTTTTTATACCTTTTTTCGGAGTATAGCTTCAATTCGAAGATTAAAACGCAGTGAAAGAATCATTTCCGACCCTATAAACCATATATATTCTTGATCAGCATCAACAGCCCAGTCGTTCTAGCCATGTCTGGTCAAAAAATAAATTTTCGACATTTTTCCGAAAATTGAAAATTTTATAAGGGGTTACATCATTAAAATTGCCAAAATTTGACAAAAAATTGAATTTTTTATATTTAAAAACTGAGT